CGCTGGGAGGGAGCGAGACCGGATGCTCGACGGGATGAAGCCGTGGAAATAGCTTGGGGAAACTGCGCTAGGAGGGAGCGAGACCGGATGCTCGACGGGATGAAACCGTGGAAATAGCTTGGGGAAACTGCGCTGGGAGGGAGCGAGACCGGATGCTCGACGGGATGAAGCCGTGGAAATAGCTGGGGAAAACTGCGCTGGGAGGGAGCGAGACCGGATGCTCGACGGGATGAAGCCGTGGAAATAGCTTGGGGAAATAGCTTGGGGAAACTTCGCTGGGAGGGAGCGAGACCGGATGCTCGACGGGATGAAGCGTTTGGAAATTGGGAAATCAGCTTGGGAAATAGCTTGGGGGAACTTCGCTGGGAGGGAGCGAGACCGGATGCTCGACGGGATGAAGCCGTGGAAATAGCTTGGGGAAACTTCGCTGGGAGGGAGCGAGACCGGATGCTCGACGGGATGAAGCGGTGGAAATAGCTTGGGGAAATAGCTTGGGGAAACTTCGCTGGGAGGGAGCGAGACCGGATGCTCGACGGGATGAAGCCGTGGAAATGGCTTGGGGAAACTGCGCTGGGACAGAGCGAGACCGGATGCTCGACGGGATGAAGCCGTGGAAATAGCTTGGGGAAACTGCGCTAGGAGGGAGCGAGACCGGATGCTCGACGGGATGAAACCGTGGAAATAGCTTGGGGAAACTGCGCTGGGAGGGAGCGAGACCGGATGCTCGACGGGATGAAGCCGTGGAAATAGCTTGGAGAAACTGCGCTGGGAGGGAGCGAGACCGGATGCTCGACGGGATGAAGCCGTGGAAATAGCTTGGGGAAACTGCGCTGGGAGGGAGCGAGACCGGATGCCCGACGGGATGAAGCCGTGGAAATAGCTTGGGGAAACTGCGCTGGGAGGGAGCGAGACCGGATGCTCGACGGGATGAAGCCGTGGAAATAGCTTGGGAAAACTGCGCTGGGAGGGAGCGAGACCGGATGCTCGACGGGATGAAGCCGTGGAAATAGCTTGGGAAAACTCGCTGGGAGGGAGCGAGACCGGATGCTCGACGGGATGAAGCCGTGGAAATAGCTTGGGGAAACTGCGCTGGGAGGGAGCGAGACCGGATGCTCGACGGGATGAAGCCGTGGAAATAGCTTGGGGAAACTGCGCTGGGAGGGAGCGAGACCGGATGCTCGACGGGATGAAGCCGTGGAAATAGCTTGGGGAAAACTGCGCTGGGAGGGAGCGAGACCGGATGCTCGACGGGATGAAGCCGTGGAAATAGCTTGGGGAAATAGCTTGGGGAAACTTCGCTGGGAGGGAGCGAGACCGGATGCTGGACGGGATGAAGCCGTGGAAATAGCTTGGGGAAACTTCGCTGGGAGGGAGCGAGACCGGATGCTGGACGGGATGAAGCCGTGGAAATAGCTTGGGGAAACTTCGCTGGGAGGGAGCGAGACCGGATGCTCGACGGGATGAAGCCGTGGAAAGACCGGAGCTTGGGGAAATAGCTTGGGGAAACTTCGGGGAGGGAGCGAGACCGGATGCTCGACGGGGACCGTGGAAATAGCTTGGGGAAACTTCGCTGGGAGGGAGCGAGACCGGATGCTGGACGGGATGAAGCCGTGGAAATAGCTTGGGGAAACTTCACTGGGAGGGAGCGAGCGCCGGATGCGCGACGGATGAAGCCGTGGAAATAGCTTGGGGAAACTGCGCTGGGAGGGAGCGAGACCGGATGCTGGACGGGATGAAGCCGTGGAAATAGCTTGGGGAAACTGCGCTGGGAGGGAGCGAGACCGGATGCTCGACGGGATGAAGCCGTGGAAATAGCTGGGGAAATTTCGCTGGGAGGGAGCGAGACCGGATGCTGGACGGGATGAAGCCGTGGAAATAGCTTGGGGAAACTTCGCTGGGAGGGAGCGAGACCGGATGCTGGACGGGACAAAACCGTGGAAAATAGCTTGGGGAAACTTCGCTGGGAGGGAGCGAGACCGGATGCTGGACGGGATGAAGCCGTGGAAATAGCTTGGGGAAATTGCGCTGGGAGGGAGCGAGACCGGATGCTGGACGGGACAAAACCGTGGAAATAGCTTGGGGAAACTGCGCTGGGAGGGAGCGAGACCGGATGCTGGACGGGATGAAGCCGTGGAAATAGCTTGGGGAAACTGCGCTGGGAGGGAGCGAGACCGGATGCTCGACGGGATGAAGCCGTGGAAATAGCTTGGGAAACTGCGCTGGGAGGGAGCGAGACCGGATGCTCGACGGGATGAAGCCGTGGAAATAGCTTGGGGAAACTTCGCTGGGAGGGAGCGAGACCGGATGCTGGACGGGATGAAGCCGTGGAAATAGCTTGGGGAAACTTCGCTGGGAGGGAGCGAGACTGCTGGACGGGAAACCGTGGAAAATAGCTTGGGGAAACTTCGCTGGGAGGGAGCGAGACCGGATGCTGGACGGGATGAAGCCGTGGAAATAGCTTGGGGAAACTGCGCTGGGAGGGAGCGAGACCGGATGCTGGACGGGATGAAGCCGTGGAAATAGCTTGGGGAAACTTCGCTGGGAGGGAGCGAGACCGGATGCTGGACGGGATGAAGCCGTGGAAATAGCTTGGGGAAACTTCGCTGGGAGGGAGCGAGACAGCACGCTGGACGGAGAGGAAACCGTGCAAATATAGCTTGCGGAGAGCTTCGCTGGGAGGGAGCGAGACAGCATGCTGGACGGGACACAAAACAGTGGCAATAGCTTGCATTGAGCTTCGCTGGGAAGGAGCGCGACAGCATGCTGGACGGAGAGGAAATAACGTGCAAATAGCGTGTGGAGAGCTTCGCTGGCAGGGAGCGAGACATGCTGGACGGACAGGAAACGTTGGAAATAGCTTGCGGAGAGCTTTGCTGGGAGGAAGCGAGCCAGCATGCGGGACGGAGAGGGAACAGTGCAAATAGCTTGCGGAAAGCTTCGCCGGGAGGGAGCGAGACAGCATGCTGGACGGAGGGGAAACCGTGGAAATAGTTTGGGGAGAGCTTTGCTGGGAGGAAAGCGTGGAAATAGCTTGGGGAGATCTTCGGTGGGAGGGACCGAGACAGCACGGCTTTTGCACACAGAATCTTGTACACACAGACGCGTTCACACACAGGAGGTTTTATACAAACAGAAGACTTTACGGCGCACAGAACTTTTATATACATAGAGCAGCTTTTACGCAGCGAAGCTTGTACACACAGGACAAAGGGGAGCTTTTTTACACAGAAGCTTTTACATAGGGTTTTTTTAATACACAGAAGCTTTTACACACAGAAACCTTTACACACAGAAGCTTTACACACAGAAACTTTTACACACAGAAACTTGTACACACAGAAGCTTTTACAC